CCCCAAAACCCCAAAACCCCAAAACCCCAAAACCCCAGAAGGAAAATCTTATGTTGAAATTTGAATTACTAGGCTAAAATATTAGCTAATAATCGTCTTCATCTGACATTTCATCAAGTTCTCCTTCTCCTTCTTCATCGATCTCGACTATGACCTCGTTGGTGAACTAGAGCAAGAATTAGTACATTAAATATGGGATAAGGCAAGTAAGTACCTTCTGTTGTTGTATCAAGCTTTCAAGTTCTTTTTTGTCTTGGAGCTCATCAAATATTAGCTCGAACTTATTCTGCAGGGCCATATCTGACATTAATCCTTTCTTGGGAGTCCCATCATGATCTGGGAATGGGAAAAGGGGATCTACACCTATCCACAGAGCATTCTGCAACATATGAGGTATCATTCTGGCTAATAAAGGACAAGGCTGGTCTAGTCACGGATTTGTATTGACTTCTATGAGAGATAAGTTGAAGTCCTCATCCAGCATGAAGTCATACCCAAAGATTTCAAAGCTTGCTTGCTTCCTTTTGGGATCAATCTTGTTAAACACCGCTTTCACCGTGTCCTGGACTATCACTTTGGCCTTAGGAAGAATATCCTTTTTGAAATTTATGTTTGATGAGGAATAGTATGTATCAATATATTTCTGGAAATCTTCATATGAAATTTTGTTGCTATTTTCATACTTTCCGTACTCCTCATCCTTCTTTTGGATGGCATCATTAGTCAGGTGGATCATCCTGTTTGAAAGGTTGGCCAAGGAAAATTCCTTGCAGGAAGTTCTGAGGTACCCATCTTTGTAGAAGTATCCCTTCATACACCCGTTGATGGAGGTTATCATCATGAACATCCTGATGTCAAACTTTCGCTTATGGATGAGCAGAGGATATTCTATGTATTTCTGAATGATACAAGTCTTGTTGCTTTTGTTTGACTTGTTATCACACAGCTCTTGAATTTCACACATCTCTTTACTGACCTAGTAAGGATTAAAGGGAAAGCGTACCATGATTCCAGTGCCTCTGTTGGTGTTCTCTCCAGGTTTGATGATCCATACATTTCTGGTCTTTTTAATTTTATTTGGCTTCAGAAGACTTGCCTTCTTCCTTGAGTTCCTTGATTTTTAATGAATTCTCTTCCCGAATCCTCTCTTGTTCGTTGTAATAATCTGTGAATTTTCCAAATTCAGTGTCCTGGAGGCCATCTTTTATGTGGAATGTAACTGGTAAGTATTTAAAAACGTGCTGTTCGTCTCCAGATATAGAAGTGTAGTACGCTTTCATATTGATGAACAAAGCCTTTTTGTTAGACAAATGGTAATTGTTCTCCAGTCTGTTGTACACCTGTATGTCTGTTGAGTTCACCCTTTTCATGGCAGGATTTTCAGTAGCTAAAATTATGCAGAAATATACCAAAAATTCACTCTTCAGCCTTTTTCTCGTTGAATTCCTCAGTAGTAAGGATTTTATTTGGTAATCTTGTTGTTTCTCCATTGAGTCCATCTGAAATTAGGGGAGATTCCAGTCTGTTTATCATAGACGTTCCACCACCATTTCTCTGTCATTAAGCGACGGATGATGAAGGAGTTGTTTCCTGGGCCAACTTTGAAGCCATAAAGATTAGAATTTCCGTTAGAAGACAACTTCTGAGGGACTATTTCAAGATTATTTGACTTATTGATGATGCTCCAGACGAAGCGACTCATTCTTTCTTTGATCTTGTCTGAAAATTCTCTGTTCTTGAACAACAAATCATTTATCTGGCAAGCTGGCATGTAGATATTCATTCAGCTAGCCAGCTCACTGATGTAAAGCTTCACTGGATCCTCTAGAACGGGTTTAAGCTAGATTTTACTGTTTGATGACTTTAAGGGTGTCTTTCGCTTAAAAGTTTGATTCAGAAATTGATTGTACAGATCAAAAGCTTCATTCACAGTGATATCTTGTGAGATTGCATTCTGGAGGTCCTCCTCAGCAGTACTTGAAGGTGGCTTGAACAACATCTGCTTCTGCTTCGCAAATTTCATCTTCCCTTGTTTCTAAAAAGTTACTGCATGGGTTACAAATGTGATAGGATTGAGGTCATCTGATGAGCTACTATTTGTCTTCTTCAACTTTTTGACTAAAGAGAACTCTTTTGATATCAACTTGAGCTCATTATACTTAGGGGTGGAGGTAAACGACAACTTCTGCTTCAGCCTAGCTCTTTTACTCTTCTTTGGTGTTAGCAGGTCCTCGTTAGAGACTTTCTTACTAGACACTTCATTCTTTGGTATACTATGGTTACGCTTTTCCAGCTTGAATTTCTTGGCAATCTCCTGGTATCGAGAATCCTTCTTCTTGAAGTCGAGGACGGCATTATACTCGCTCTTTGTTGTTGGCTTCAGCTTGATATCTTTAAGTTTACTTCTGGATTTCTGAAGAGTCTTGATCTGAATAGGTTCCTTTTTGAGCAAAGTTTCAAGATCAACTTTGTCAAGATCGACTGCTTCAATGTCATATTTTGGCTTAATCTGATATTTCTCACCTGAAATGTTCATATCATGCATTGAATCAAGATTCTCAGTGCTCCTATTGGTTAAGAAAGAGGGTTACCTCTCCCGTTGAGGTTTAGCAAATTTGTCAGCAGTCATGTTTAGAGAATTTTTGGCTACTTTTAGAGCTAGAGTTTCTCGTATAGCCTCCCTATTGGTTAACATAAGTAGCATACCTTTCCTTGGAAATGCGATTTTCAGCATGCGCTGTCCTGTCTGTGATGGATGGTGGGAGACTTCCGCAAAGCCCTCTTTGGGTGACATCTGCTGGCTTATAGCTAGGAAGTCCCTTTATGTCAAGCCTGATTTTGTTCAGGTCGACTACGTGGAATTTCGACTGTTCTTTGGGAGTAATCGATCATGGGGACTTGGCCTAAAGGGAAGGTTATCTCAGGAATCACAAAATTGCAAGCTTACTAAAGTATTTCTCATTCCAAATTTGTACTTCATGCTGATATTATAAGAGCTGGCATCATTAAAATTGTAATCATTGTTGATATCTTTATAATTCTTCATAAGAACAATCTCGTTGGCAAGATTCAGTTCAGGATAATTAGATGATCTAGTGGATCCTAGATGCTGATTCTCACTCTTATTATCACGCAGATACTTATTTCTCCTTCTCAGTTTGGTAGTTCTCTCGAGATTTCCGTGAGGAGACTCGCTTTTTGTAGGAGGCTGACTCTGTCTCTTTTAGAAATTTTGAATTTTTACTGTGATATCTTCGATCTATTCTGTTTAACTCTGGGAGAGGAGTTTGATCAGATCCATCTTTAACATATTGTGGTTTATTCGTTTTTCTTATCCCACTGAATCCGTTATCAAGCTGACTCGTGTTATAAAACTGATCATCTTTGATGTTATACTGGGATGAAGTAACTCGATGCCCTGTGACTCTCTTCTGTGATTTCTTTAAAGGACTATAGTTGTTTAGCATCAGGATAAATTTAGATATTGATTCTAAAGAACTTCACTAAACAGCTTCATAAGAGTTTTTAGAATAAATTTCAAACAGACTAGCAATCTTGCAGAACTGATTTTGTTTGACATAGTTGTGTTAAACTTACTTCCTGAAGCTCTTGATTTCTTGCGTTGAACTAAACGAGCTGACGCCAAAGGGCTTTTTGAGCCCTTTGGCCTTTCTTGTTTGGGGTATTTCAGGTAGAAGAGTGCTATCAATTCCTAAATCCTTCATTTTATTTTATATATGCTAACAAATAAATCAATAATGGAGAACTACTTTGGGGTTTTGGGGTTTTGGGGTTTTGGGGTTTTGGGGTTTTGGGG